TGGGGAGCAGGGAGAGAGAGACTTTCCTGTAATGTGCCTACTGTACAAGTGTGGAAACTGACCTAGAGGGTCTAGTGGGAGCAGCTGGGAGTGCTTGGGCTAGTGCTTGGGTGTGGGAATGTTGCAGGAGGCTGGGAAGTGAAGGGCTCAGGGGTGGCGAGAGGCAGGCCTAGAGCAAAGGGAGCAGGCCCGCTTTGCAGGATGAGAATAGGACATTCAACCCCACAGGTCGAATTCAACCACATGGGGTTGGGGTGGGGCGGTAAAGACTATCATACCTCACCCCTTTTCTAGTTCAGCGCTCTGGGGGTGTTCCACAAGAGGCTTCTGAGCTTTTGTCTTATAAATATTCATGCCCATGCTCTTTTCATTTAGAAGTATAGATCCAATTATTTTAACGAACACTGAAAACTTTCTCTTCCATAATAGATGTCTCTTCATATAATGGTATGTGATTTATGTAACACAATTGGGTGTTCCTTTGCAGACGTCTCTGAAATGTAAGAATTATATAACCCAGGAGTCAAGACTTCCGGTCACCCCAAATCCTAGAGTACAGACAGCATACTTCACAGGAAGCCTTTTGTACTCTTGTGACGCCTTTCACATTTCCTCTGTTCTCAGGTTCACGCTGTGGACAGCATTTGCTTCCTGATGGAGCAGGTGCCCCAGGGAGGTGTGTAGAAGGTTTTCTTTAAGCTGGCCAGGGTCCAGCTCCAGGCTAAAGCTGCTCACCTGGGAACAGAGGCTCGCCTGGTGGAGCTAGAGATGAAGGTGTCTGTGGATGGTCCTTAAGATGAGGAGATTCGCTGGGCGTGGTGGCACACGCTCATAATCCCAGCACTCGGGGAGGCAGAGGCAGGTAGCTATCTGTGAGTTCAAGACCAGCCTGGTCTACAAAGCGAGTCCAAGACAGCCAAGGCTACACAGAGAAGCCCTACCTCAAAAAAAAAAAAAAAAAAAAAAAAAAAAAGATGAGAGATGCTAGAGTGGGATGGGGCTGGACGACCCCAGGAAAGGGGCCCTGGAGCCGAGACTCTCGTCTTGAGGGGCTACATTTGTCCTGGAGTACTTTCCAGGGGCTTGCTGGTCTGCACGTGAGGTAGAAAAGGGCTGAGGCACTCACCCAGGCTGGGAATGACCTGGAGGAGGATGGAGATCTTGCGCACAGTCATGGAGGCTCTTTGAGACAGAGAGGGACGCTGCTGTGTTCTGGATAGGGTGGGGAACTAACCTGCAAAGGTGAGGGTCGGCTTCACTGTGAGGCCAGGGTGTGGAGGGCAGGGATTACAAGGATCGAGGCAAGTGGATTAGAGTCAGATCTTGGACAACATGTAGACGAGGTTTGGGCAGCTGCTCATCTTCTTCGTTTGCAGTTTGGCACAGCATAACTGTGCAGATTTGTGGGTTCCATGTGAACCTTCAGTACAAGTTCATAACGGTTAAGACTCATCCGTCATCTCAAACACTGGCTCTTTGTGATAGAACATTGAAAAGATCTCTTTTCACAGTAGCACTGAGAATGCAGTTTAATGGTGGGAATGGGCTCTATCTGGAAGATGCCAAGGGTTCCATGCCCAGTGCCAGAGGTGGGGATGAGGGGACCAAACACAAAACCAAAATGGTGATGGATTGGGGCAAAGAAGCACACACCTTTAATCACAGCACTTGGGGGACAGAGTCAGCAGAAGCAGGATCTCTGAGATTCAAGGCCAACCTGGCCTACACAGTGAGTTTCAGACCTTCCAAGGCTGCATAGTAAGACCCTGTCTTAGTGAATGTTCTATTGCTGTGAAGAGACATCATGACCATGGCAAGTCTTACAGAGGAAAACATTTAATTGGGGCTGGCTGACAGTTCAGAGGTTTAGTTCGTTACGCAGTAAAAAGCCTGGCAGAACGCAGGCAGACGTGGAGCTGAAGAGATAACAGAGAGTTCTACATCTGGACCAGTGGGCAGCAGGAAGAGACAGTGACACCGGGCTGGCTTGAGCCTCTGAAACTCCAAAGCCCACCCTGAGTGACATACTTCCTCCAACAAGGCTACAACCTCCTAATAGTGCCACTCCTGGTGATCAAGCATTCAAATCTATGAGTCTATGGGGGTCGTTCTTATTTAAACCACCACAGACCCTGTCTCAAAAAACAAAACAGAGCAAATGTACAATATGGTGTAATTTTTACTCATTGACCAACCTCTCCTCATCCCTGTTCCTCATCCTCCCCAGCCTCTGGTGACACCGCTTTCTCTGCTCCAAGGATTATGGACTGAACCTTCTGAAACTGTGAGCCTGAGTCAGTCTGTTTTCACCGAAGATGCCTTACTTGATATTTGATGACAGTAAAGACAGGGGCTGGAGTGATGGTTCAGCAAGTAAGAGCAGTGGCCGCTCTTCCGTAGGAACCGGGTTCAATTCCCAGCACCCACATGGCAGCTCACAACTGTCTGTAACTCCAGTTCCAGGGGATCTGACACTCTCACACAGACATACATGCAGTCAAAACACCAATGGACATTAAAAAGAAAAGTACCTGAGGTTGAAGATGTTCTCATTGTTAAAGGGTCCGAGGCAACGGATCTTTGCAGGAACAAAAGTACAAGTCACTGCAACAGAATTAGTGATTTCCATGCGAAAAAAATCAAAGATTTAAAAAAAAAAAAAGTACATATGTAGAGGAGGGGTGGGAAGGGATGAGGAGAGAAGGGCATGTTCACAGTGACCAAGATAGAAACTTAGCAGCCGAAGCATGAAGAAGTATGGCCCCAGTGGGCATGTGGGGAGAGGACACAGACTGCTTTAGGCAACAGAAACACAAAAAGGAAATATACGTCTCACTACCTGCTCCTTTCTCTGTGTCCATAAGAAATAAACAAGAAGGACTTGGCTAGCTAGGCTTAGTGGCCCACACCTTCGGTCCCAGCACTCAGGAGGCAGAGGCAGGTGGATCTCTGTGAGTTCAAGGTCAGTCTGATCTAAATTGCCAGTTCTAGGACAGCCAGGAGAGACTCTCTTAAAAAAAAAAAAAAGAAGGAACGAAAGGAAGGGAGGGAGAGAGAGAGAGAGGAAGAAAAAAGGAAGGAAGGAAAGAAGGAAGGAAGGAAGGAAGGAAGGAAGGAAAGAAAGAAAGAAAGAAAGAAAGAAAGAAAGAAAGAAATTTCCCTTAAAAAAATGAGTTGGTGGCTGTGACTTTGAGCAATGTCAAGGGGATTAGAGGTGGCATCAGAGATGAGAAAATGTGCTGGATTTAGATAGAGGCCAACTCACTGGCTCAGCCCAGGAGTCTTCTACCTCAAGACAGACCTCTCTCAGCTCCAGCAGAAGCTGAGGATGAGGCCAGTGGTGTTAAAGCAGGAGCATTCATTCAGTATCTATATGATGTCTGGAGGCTTTACGCAGTGGGTAGGGTGGAAGCGCCAAAGGTCCTGGTGGGCTTCCCTCCCACCATGGGGACCTTGTTAACAAAAACCGCAGGATTCGCTCCTGCCCTTCAGCAGAAGGGGAAGCCTTGGATAAAGTCTGTTTTCCAGAACCTTCATCGTGAAGGGCCTCCTCTGGATCCTGTAGCCTTTCAGCACCAGGACAGCCATCAGGGTTGAAGAATATTTTTGTCTGCATCTGCATGTTCATGAGTGTCCAGATGCCACAATAGCCAGGAGCAGCAATAGGCAGGACATCGAAGGTTGGAGCCAGGAGCCTGTGAGGGAACTGGCCACCATCATGACGGCAAGAGCAGGCAGGTTACACACAGATGTCTGAGCACCTAGAACTTCCTTCTTTGAACTAGGCGGTCAACTTTACAGGAAGGGAGAGGAGGGGAGGGGCATTCTAAGCGCTGCTGTCCTTGCCTCAACAAGAAGTGTGTAACACCTTTCTCTCTGTAAGCTGTCCATGTGACCACTCTCAAGGAGGCTGGACATCTTGAGCCCCTGCTAGTAGCTAGCTTGGTCCACCTGGAGGGCAGGAAAAGGGACTTCCCTTGGAGACTTGGCAGAGACTGCAAAGCTGGGACTCTCTGACCACTCATGGGAGTCATCTGGGCTTGGGGACAGAAGTGTGACCAAACCTGGGATTTGGAGCAGAGGTGAGACAAGCAGCTACTGTGTGAACGTGAAGGCTCCTCAACCCATCTTCCTCTCCTGGCTTCTCCTTCCTCAGTTTATCCTGTCTTTCCCTTCCTGTTAAGGCTTCCTCTGCGGGCTGGTATCCTGCTGCTATAATCAGGATGATATGAGCATCCCTCCTTTTCCTTTCCTCAGACTCTTTAAGGGAGACAATAGCAGACAAAGGGAGACAATTATATCCATTAGGGACAGAGTCTTTGGCTGAGTTGCTGGGGTCTCTTGGCCCTCTTTCTCCACCTGCTCTTCACTGGTTTTGAGAAAGGTGCTGCTGTCTGTCTTGGACAGGCTAGGTTAAGCTAAGGCAAGGGTAATTAGCAAGTGTTTGTTGATTGACTGAACTTGTGACCCCAGCTGGAAGATGAGGAAGTTGGCAGGCTCTTTAAAGGGGTGTGGCCACTCTCTGGGCTTTATTGGGCTTCCTTAGGAATCAGGCTGTCTCTGGTGACCCTGTGACCTCCTCTCCAGACACCCCATTCCCCACTTCCTGTCCCAATTCTTTCTCAGCATGGCTGTTTCCCTTACCCTAACCTTCCTTCTGCCTGTGAAGGGCAGTACCTGTGTCCAGCCCTTGATCTGCCCCATCCACCGAGTTGATCTGTGTTTAGAGATGAGCTGGAGGAACATCCAATGTTTTTTTTTTTTTTCTTTTTGTTGGTCAACTTTCAATATGATGTTCCTGTTCAGTGTGTTTGTTCAAGGAGACCTTTGAGCAGCTCCTATTCCGGGATGACTGGCTTCAAGCCTCTGCTCTTATTCCCTGCAATCCTTGGACCTCAGCTACACAGAGACAGCCCCACCCTTGGCCTTAGAGACACCCCCACCCCTGACCTTTCTGAATGTCAAGCAACCCTTGTGTACGAGAAGGCCACTAAAGCTGTTCTCTGTGGCTCTGGCCTCTCTCCTCTCCTTGCCTCCCTGCCTGGCCCAACTTAAGCTCCTACATAGGCAAGTCTGTCTGTCCCTCAGAGAGGGTGCTGAGCCTTTGATGGCTGAAGGGGTGAATGGAGCAGCCCTCAGGAGAGGATGTGGTACGTGGAGCAGCTCTTTGGCGAGCAGTCAGAAGGCCCTGCTCTCTGCCCGAGAAGGAGCTGCTCCTGGAGCTCTCTTGATGCCTGGTTCACTCAATGAAGTTGGAGGTATGTGCTTCAGGGTCATCCCTCTAGAAGGAGACAGGGACCCCACCCCACCCCGAGCTGCCAAAGCTTCTAGCTTGCTCTTGAGGAAAAGCGGGCAGGACAGATCAAGGTGGTGATATCAGGCTTAAGAAACCCCTGTGAAGGGTTTGGTTTTTCTGTTTGTTTGTTTTGTTTTGTTTTTAATGTATGACTTCTCAGGTTTCAAAGGGATGTGGGGAGCTAGGGAGAGGGCTCTGAACCACAGGCAGGCCTCTGCCTGACTGCTACTGAGACATTCCATCTTCCCAGGCTTTAAAGAGCACTTACGGGAGGCAGGACAGTGGCAGTTTACAAAACTTTACCGAACGTCTTCACTCATGTATTTGACTCATGAAGAGACATTTAAGCATTTGAAGAGCAAGCAACAGCAAGGCATATTCTTTTTGCAAAAGAATATACGAATCGGGATGGTACACACCATTAATCCTAGCTGTATGGTGAATACACACATACACACACACAAAGAGAAAGAAAGTAGTAAAAGCAGGAGGTGGGTGAGCCCCGCTCTGAGCAGTGGCAGGCCTGTGTCAGCCCTTTGTTGGGTTTCCAGACCCAGGCTCTGGGCAACAGGGTGAGTATGAGGCATCCGTGTGCCTCCTGCCTATCACGCTTCCAGCTGCCCTGTTGTAATGCCCTGGTCTAGATGCTCTCTGCCTTGCCCTGTAGTCAGACTCTGGCTAGGGTGTGGCCTCACTTAAGGAAGGTCTGCTCAGGGTCCTTTCTTGGCTCCTAGGGCAGTTTAGTCTCTATGTCCCGGTACAGAGAATGTACTTGGTGGTACCCATCTCACAGCCTGGGGCGTGTGGGGGTGGTGATCAGAGACAGTGGGCGTGGGGGGATGGCTATCACAGATCCTTCAATGTCTTTGCTGAACGCCAGGAGCCTGAGCTCTGGAGGACCCTTGCTTCCCACAGAAGCCGATATTTATTCAGGGAGCACCCGTGTACCAGCATGAATCACCCAGGCCCACCTTAGGGAGTTTCTATTCCTGCAGACCCATGAAAGTCACAGCATGCACCATCTATAAAAATAGCCTTGCCCTGACACTCGGAGGGGCCCCCTGGCTCCTCCTGGCACAAGAGCTGCATTGCCAGGCTGCAAGTCTGCCTGACTTTCCTAATTATCTGGAATGTGTGTGGGCCCCCTGCTGAGTACCCTGCAGGGGCTGGCTCAGCTTTCCTTTGAAGAAGGGACCCAGGGAAATATCCTTGCAGACCTGTGTGGGTCTGACTTAAGCCCCGCTGGATTATGGGGCCTTGCTCATATTCATGGTCTAAGTAAGATGCCTTTCATTAACCACCCTCTTCTCTGGCCAATAGTTCCCTGTCCTAAACCAAAAGTACCAGATGTCCTGGTAACACCTTTCAACTGGCCTCTGTTCTTGGGTGATGTGCTTGAGGGAATGACAGCCTACACTCATCCTCCATCTTCCACCCTCTCATTCTTGGCTCTTTTATTTTTTGGAAGCTGAGTGAGTGTCCAGCTAAAGGTACAGAAGAGAGTGGACATCCACTCTGCAGAAACTCACTGTCCTCGCCCAACATTTTAGTTCTGCTCAGAGGGGTGTGGGTGGTGCTGAGCCCCTTTTTATGCCCCTGAGGAAGAGCCCCTAAGCCAAACAGGTTAACTTTGGAGCTGCCTGGGAGTCTCTGGCCCCACCCCTGCACAGACATCCCCCCCCCCCAAGGAAGTTCAGGCCCAAAGAGGGGAAGTGGCTCTGCCCAGAGCTTGCAGGTAGCTGGGTCCTGGAGGAGAAATGACACCTCAATGCTTAATCAGCTGCACTGGACCACCTACAGGTAACAGTCTCTGGGACATTTAGGGAAACTGAGGCCCAGTGCCTCTGGCCTGACCTTGCTTTCCTGAAGGTCTGGGCTCTATCCACACCTGTCCTAGATCAGTGGGCTTCCCTAGGTAGCAGGCCAGTAAGCTGCCCCTGAATGCACTCCTTGATGGCTGCAGCCTGCAGCAGGAAGACCTGGTTTGTCCCTGGTAATGGGTGACATTTTTCTACGAACCCTCAACTTCCTCCTGATCTGAGTCAAGGTTGCAGGTCGGGGTGGGGGAGCTCCTCATGAGCAGCGCAGGAGCCTTCCCCAGCGCTCTTGGCTTGCGTGCCACCAGCCTCCCCTGGCCCGAAGTCCACTCCCCCGAAATCTTGCTGGGAAATCACCAAGCACCGGAGATTACATGTGCTCAGGAGTTGTTCCACAACCCTGGGCAAGAGGCTCCTGATGAGCCAGGGTGTGTGTGGGAGCTTACCAGCTGTGTCACTTGCTTGCCTCAGTTTACCTCTGGCGGGGGCGGGGAGGGAGTGGTATTAGTCTCTTTATTTGGCTCTTGAGGGCACTAAAGGACGGGACCCTGGGGAGCAAACGGTCAGCTTGGACTGCTATCCTCTAGCAGGGATTGTCCTTGAACTGCAGCCAAGCGTCTCCTAGAGAGCCTGGTGGAGAAAACACCAGCATTTAGAGCCCTGAAACTTCTGGATTCTTCCTTGACAGTGAGGACAGGTCAGGAAATGTCTGGCTTTATGCCGCTCACAGTGGGGGCGAGGTGGGGGCAGCGGCGTGCAAAGAACCCATAGCCTCTCGGAGGGTTCTTCTCATCTCGTTTGCCCCCCTCGGGGCTCACTAGTCCCTGCAATCCATCAGTCTGCCCGCCTTCCATTCTTTCATTAGTAGGACCCTCTCAAGGACCAGTTCTTGTATGAGTTGGTGATACAAAGGCAAACAAGACAGGTTCTCGTGATGGCACCATCTCTGGACAGCAGGGTCATCCGTCCTGGTGCCCAGAAGTGATTCCTGCTAGTCCCCCCTTGACCACAGAGGGCAAATCCTATGGGATGCCAGGAATGTGGCTGTCTGATTCGAGTCCCAGTTGGTCCCTTTCTGCCCGCTAAACTTTCCTCTCCTTTTAGCACTTAGTCTGTACCCCGGACTGACCTACAACTCTTGTGTTGCCTAGGCTGGCCTTGGACTCATGGCAATCTTCCTGCTTCAGCCTCCGGGGGCGCTGAGATTACAGGCCGGAGTCACTGTGCCCAGCCGACCTTGGGCAGACTGTCTGAGCCTAGCTTTCCTCATTTGCAAAAGGGACACAATTTCCACAACATCCAAGATGGATCCCGCCCCCTCTGTGGAATACTTAGCACATAGCCGATCAGATCGCTGGTCTCTTGAGCTACCCCTCCACCCGCCCATCCACTCAATCCTCATGGTACCTCTCGGAATCAAGGAGATCCACATGCTTTGTCTTGTGCTTGTCTGTGTGTATACACTTGTGTACATACATGTGTGTATGTTTGTATGTACATACTCATGCGTGGGGGGTGTAGGCCAGAAGTCAAGGTTGAGTGTCTTTCTTAATTGCTTTCCACTTTATTTTTTGAGTCAGGGTCTCCCGTTCATGACCAGACTGACTAGTCAGCAAGCCCCTGTCTCTGTCTTTCCAGACATGGGATTGCAGGGGCGCACCTAGTTTTCGTGGGGGTGCCGAGGATCAAACTTGAGCCCTCTCGCTTGTAAAGTGAGTGTTTTGCTGGCTGAGCCTCTCCAGTCCCGCTTGTGTCCTCGAACTCTGGTTTGCAGAAGCCCCGCTCAGGCACAGTCATTTCATTTCTACTGCTTTTGGGTTGGTATTTACATTCTAACCTGGTAACCCCACGGATACCAGAGCTTCAAGCAAAGAAACTGGAGGGGCTGGCACTGGAGGGGGGGGGGCTTGGACCCCCTCCAGCTGAATTCCTGAAGCTACAGCAGCTTTGCTCTCTCGTGATCTGGGGTACCATCTCAGTCTAGCCCCTAGGGGTCTACAGCAGGGGGTGGGCACAGATGAGCTTGCTGAGGGACGTTTTCTTGGCCTGCAAACGTTCTTGGGTGTGCTGTGCTTGCCACCTGGGAGGTCTGGAAAACGCAGGCTGCTTTAGGGAGAGGAGAGCCTGATGGTGTTGAGCCTTACAGCTCGGATTCTCCGTCTCAGCTGTGAAGATGCAGTTTCTGCCCTGCCCCAATGTGGCAGGTGGGGGAAGCCCCAGGCACGGGGGCGACAGTCGTCAGAGTTCATATTCCTGTGTGGTGACGCTGGTGGTGAGAGCCAGTGTGTCGAGGCTGACTCCAAATGCCCAGGCCTAAGCAGCATTTTACGGGCAGGAGAGAACAGCTAGAGCAGCCGGCTGTGGTGGCGCATGCCTGTAATCCCAGCACTTGGGGAGGCAGAAGCAAGTAGATCTCTGTGAGTTCAAGGCCAGCCTGATCTACAAAGCACAGCCACGGCTACACAGAGAAGCGCTGTTTCAAAAAACAAAACAAAAGCTAAAGCTTTGTCCTCTAATAGAGCCAGAAGCGAACTAAAGCCTGGGGCCAGTGCTTTCCAGGGGGTGGGTACTCTTTCTCTTTATTAGGCTTTTAGAAAACAACAGTATGCTGAGGGAAGACTCCCTTTTAGGGCTACAAACAAACGAAAACATCCTGCAGCGAGACCCTAGTATATGTGCGCGTTCTCTCTGCAGTATTCTGGATAAGCAGGCCTCCTGATTCCGCTTGTGTACATCCAGTGACTGGGCGCTCGCTCGCTCACTCACAGTGAGGCCTCTTTGCCCTCAGAACGGGCAGGTGCCCTGGTGGCCGCTCTTCCTCTGGCTCCCACGAAGTAACTCTGTGGAACTTGTCCTGAGTTCCAGAGCATGGAGTCTCCCCTCTATGGGTGGGTCGGGAGCTCAGCTCCTCCTATCTGCTTCTCCCTGGTTCTGCAGCCCTTCACCTGCGCCGCGGCCAGCCAGCCTTGGGGCCCAGGGTGATGAGGGCCAAGAAAGGCTGCCTCTGTTTCTCTTTTAAATGGTGTCAAGGTAGTCTTAGCTTCCCTCGTTTCTTACTTTCCTGTGCCCAGGAAAGAATACCTAGGAATTCTCATTTGCTGCAACTCCATCTTTGATTTTGCACGTCTCTGCTCCTTTCCAATAG